GCTCGGGGTCTCGAATAAGAGGGTATGGACCTGCGTGCCCGGAGCCGACTGGTATCCCTGCTAACGTCGCTGCGCAGTAGCAGGGGGTATCTAGCGTGGATTGGGGATGCGCGTCCGTGTATAAGGGAATTGGTATATGTGCTTATAACTGCTTATTTAGATATATAGATTAACACATAGCGCATTTTCTCTAACTTCTTTATTATTCTTTATCCTTTAACGAAAGGAGTGTGCTATATTACAGTATCCGCTGGCTGTATTTTTCTTCATTTTTCAAAGTCGAAAACTAATAAACTTTCATAAGCGTAACAGTATTTTTATTCATGGTTCTATAATCATGGAACCTACCATCTGTTTCATCATTTTGATTTAAGACCTTATTCGCTCACAGCTGTGTGTTAGAATTGAAGTTTCCGAGAAAAAATCTAAATAAATAATTGTGTGTGAATGTGTGTGTGTATGTATGTATAGGGGTGTGTATATATATTTGTGCGTGTGTGTGTTTGTGTGTGTGTATGTATGTATATGTATGTATGTATACACGCACATATTTTTATGTATGTATGTATGTATGTATGTATATATGTGTGTGTATACGTGTATATATATTTTTTATTGTGTGAAATAAGGTTAATATGTTTTAAACAGCCTTAGGTTAATGAAACTTATTTTGATTAGTCACAGGCATTTTTCTTAACATTGACTTCTTTAATATTCCCTTTTGGTTCTCGGCCGTATGTGTGTATATATATATATATATATATATATATATATATATATATATATATATATATATATATATATAAATATATGATATACATATATACATATATACATATATACATATACATATACATATACATATACATATACACATAATACATATACATATACATATACATATACATATATATATATATATATATATATATATACATATATACATATATACATATATATACACACGCACACGAACACACACACATACGCACACACAACACACATACGCACATACACACACATACACACACACACAACACATACACACATACACACATACACACACACACACACATACACACACACACACACACACACTGAGAAGAGAGAGAGAGAGAGAGAGAGAGAGAGAGAGAGAGAGAGAGAGAGAGAGAGAGAGAGAGAGAGAGAGAGAGAGAAAGCGAGAAAGAGAGAGGGAGGCAGGGAGGCAGGCAGAATGATGGAGAGACAAACACAAGAGGATCGAAAATAAGAGTAAAAATTAATTACGATTTTGATTACAATTCTCTGCGCTGGCTGACTGTATCAAGGGAGTCGTGGAAGAAATTAATGGCGGAGAAACGAAGGGAAAATTGCACCAATTCTATTTTTTTGCGCAATTTTCAATGTGATAGTTTATTTAGGAATATTGATATGTGCGAGGGTTTTCATTATCATTATTTTTTATAGAGATTGTGAATAAGAAAAATTATATTGGAGTATTCATATAAATGTTCAATTATTTTTATATCGAACTTGCAGCAAAATTGAGAGCAAGATTGGAAAAGTGAAATACAGCCGTAATAATAATATTCAGACTTTCAATATGTGTTGGAATAAAAAAAAAATGCTTGGAAATAAATAAGTAATAATGATGATATGGTAGAAAACTATATTAATTATAATGGTAATAGTTTGGTAATAGATAATGGTGAGGGTGGATGATAGTAATAGTAATAATAATGATAACATAATGATGATGATAATGATAATATATATATTTTTAAGCGTAAACATAGCTTTGCCAACACGGTGAATGTCGAGGTCACCTTAATTTTATTGTATGCTATGAATAGGATGTGCCCGTTGCTCTGAACAAAAGTAATATTGTGTTATTGATGGAAGCTCAGTTTCATCAGTGATTTCTGTAGCTGTCCGTTTATTAATATATATATTTTTTGTTATTATGTTCCTTGCAGAACTACTTTTTTATTTTATGCTTTGTAGCGAAGCAATTGTGTAAAAAAAAATTTTTCTGTATTCTAGGGGCCTGTCAAAAAATGCTGATTATAAAAGAGTCCACCCCATGATTATTCTATGTGAACTCTGTAGTGTTGCCGTAATATGTGAATGCTAAATAAAGATTTTGAATTTGAATTTTAAAGAAAGATATAGTTATGAATGATGCTTCGGTAAAGTTTATTTTTCCCTTATTTTCATTATACTTTCTTGTAACATTGTATGTTAAATATAACTTTGTTTTCTTATTTTACATTCTACTTTGGTGCAACATAGTGTAAATTCAATCTGTGCGATATGTTATTATTCATAAGTTTCGGTAAGAACTAGTTACATTAAAATTTAAAAATGAGAAACATTGGATTGGCTCACCAGGCTGATGTGATGAATGCCACGCTTGCGCTTAATGGGCTCGAAAGTATTTGATCTGTAACTTGGGAAATGAAGCATTAACATCTTGCATGGCAATGAAGAACCGTATCACGTGCGAAGTAAATTGAATCTAAAAGTTATGTTGTGAAAGACACTCGAGCTTTTGATATGGTTGCGTCTGCAAATAATGAAAAATGTCATATGGATATGAACACATTATGGAGATCTCTATTTAAGAAAGAGAAGTGTCAGATAGAGATAGATATCACCAGAACGCAGAGACCAGGGAACGGAAAAGAACACAATAAAAAATGGATTCCGGTACGCCTTCCTCAAACGCTCTCGGTAATGGCAGTCATTTGGGGATTTCGTTTTCGTTTACTCATCACTAGGGATTAATTCGAGCTCATTATGACCGACTGACTTCAGGAAACCGAACCTGATCACGCGGATTTCTGAGGAAGGAGAGCGAGGGCCCTCGGCGACGCGCGGGAAGCCACGTGGCGACCCTGCATGACGGCGGGACGACGGCAGTTGGGTTGGGCTCGCTGGTTCGGAAGCGTCTGCCGAGTCGACTGATATTTTGGGTGGTGGTTGGAGCTGTGGTGGTGGTGGTTCTTGTGGTGGTTGGAGCTGTGGTGGTGGTGGTGTGTGGTCTTGGTGGTCTGGTGTGGTTCTTGTGGTGTTGGAGCTGTGGTGGTGGTTTCTTGTGGTGGTTGGAGCTGTGGTGGTGGTGGTGGTTCTTGTGGTGGTGGAGCTGTGGTGGTGGTTCTTGTGGTGTTGGAGCTTGGCGTGGTGGTTGGTGGTGGGTGTTCTTGTGTGGTGGAGCTGTGGTGGTGGTGGTCTTGTGGTGGTTGGAGCTTGGTGGTGGTGGTTTGTGGTGGTTGGAGCTGTGGTGGGTGGTTCTTGTGGTGGTTGGAGCTGGGGGTGGTTTCTTGTGGTGGTTGGAGCTGTGGTGGTGGTGGTGGTTCTTGTGGTGGTGGAGCTGTGGTGGTGTGTGGTTCTTTGGTGGTGGTTGGAGCTGTGGTGGTGGTGGTTCTTGTGGTGTTGGAGCTGTGGTGGTGGTGGTTCTGTGTGGTGGTGGAGCTGTTGGTGGTGGTTCTTGTGGTGGTTGGAGCTGGTGGTGGTGGTGTGGTGGTTGAGCTGTGGTGGTGGTGTTCTTGTGGTGGTTGGAGCTGTGGTGGTGGTGTGGTTTCTGTGGTGGTTGGAGCTGTGGTGGTGGTTCTTGTGGTGGTTGGAGCTGGTTGGTGGTGGTTCTTGTGGTGGTTGGGCTGTGGTTGGTCTTGTGTGGTGTGGTTGTTGTTGGAGCTGTTGGTGGTGGTGGTTCTTGTGGTGGTTGGAGCTGGTGGTGGTGGTGGTCTTCTTTGGTGGTTGGAGCTGTGGTGGTGTGGTTCTTGTGGTGGTTGGAGCTGTGGTGGTGGTGGTTCTTGTGGTGGTTGGAGCTGTGGTGGGGTGGTTCTGGTGGTGGTTGGAGCTGTGGTGGTGGTGGTTCTTGTGGTGGTTGGAGCTGTGGTGGTGGTGGTTCTTGTGGTGGTTGGAGCTGTGGTGGTGGTGGTTCTTGTGGTGGTTGGGCTGTGGTGGTGGCTTGTTGTTGAGCTGTGGTGGTGGTGTTCTTGTGTTGGAGCTTGGTGTGTGTTGGAGCTGTGGTGGTGGTGGTTCTTGTGGTGGTTGAGCTGTGGTGGTGGTGGTTCTGTGTGGTGGTTGGAGCTGTGTGGTGGTGGTTGTGGTGGTTCTTGTGGTGGTGGAGCTGTGAGCTGGTGAGCTGTGTGGTGGTTATGTGTGGTGGTTATAGTGGTGGTTGTCATGGTAGGGTCACTAAAGATAGTGAATTAAGTGATTTTGCAAAATAATCATGATAGTAATAGCAGTGGTAGTAATAGTAATAATGATAGTGAAATAACACTGATAGGAGCCGCGGTAGTGGCCATATTTTTTGTTACTTTATATCAAACTGAATACAAGGGGTATGTCACATAGAGTCCAACATCACAGACCCTATTTTTGTTCAGGAAGTCGATTCAAAACATTCTCATGCAGACGGGTTAAGTTCAGTGCTGGTTGGAAATATTTGGTCATGAGAGGAGGCCGGGAGAGTAGGTCTTGACCAGAGAGCAGCACCGATTCCAGCGACTCCCAGAGGAAACGTCCGTCCGTTTGGTGCCTCCTTGGCTTGGCGAATGTAAACAAACCAGCATCATGGCGATGAGTGACGATCTCTCTCTCTCTCTCTCTCTCTCTCTCTCTCTCTCTCTCTCTCTCTCTCTCTCTCTCTCTCTCTCTCTCTCTCTCTCTCTCTCTCTCTCTCTCTCATTCTTTTCTCTCGCTCTCTCTCATTCTGTGTATCGCTCTCTCTCTTCTCGCTCTCAATCTCTCGCTCCTCTCATTCATTCTGTCTCTCGCTCTCTCTCCTGTCTTCGCTCTCTCATTCTGTCTCTCGCTCTCTCTCATTCTGTCTCTCGCTCTCTCTCATTCTGTCTCTCGCTCTCTCTATTCTATCTCTCGCTCTCTGCTTCTGTCTCTCGCTCTCTCTCATTCTGTCTCTCGCTCTCTCTCTTCTCTCGCTCTCTCTCATTCTCTCTCTCTCTCATTCTCTCTCTCGCTCTGTCTCATTCTCTCTCGCTCTGTCTCAT